CTGTCCTCTGCTATTCACATTATTTATAAATGATCTCCCTAACGTCTGCATATATTCAACTGTACACATGTGTGCAGACGACACTAATCTACGCTAGTAAACCCAATCTACCGCAGCTTGAGGCTGTGCTCCAAAACCAATTCACAAAGAAAAGTGGATAGCAAAGTGGATAGCGGATAACAAACTCTTCCTAAACACTGACAAAACAGTTACAATGATCTTTGGAACTGTACCTAAATTACGGAATCTACAAAATCAACAATTGTGTATCAGAACAAATTCAAATAGCACACTGACAGCAGCCTGCTATTTTAAATATCTAGGTATGTTGCTAGACCCAATACATTATATAATTCATTCTGCCGCTTTGTACTAGACTGTAATTACTTTACCCACCAGAGCAAAACTGGCTGTTGCTGGAATCCCGACGCACTCTTCATCTTTCCAGCCTTGTGCATGAGAGCATTTCTGGGAAGCTCCCGCCCTACCTGAGTAGAATTCTCTCCCCAGCTGTTCCCACCTCCTATAACCGCTGATCCAGTACTAGCATGATATTTAGCATACCGCAATACAAAAATAAAGTGGCTCGATCCTTATTTTCCTACAGAGCTCCGCAATTATGGAATAACCTCCGGGACACAGTCAAATCTTCATTCAATCTTTTAAGAGATCTATGGCAACATACCTCAGCACAGAATGCACCTGTAATGGTTGAATATATTTATTACCGGTTATGTGTTAAATTTATTTATGTGTGTATATATATATATAGTTTGTATATTGTGTGTTTGTAATATTGTATCCTATTGTAACAATGCAATGCTTTGTGGACCCAGGACATCCTTGAAAACGAGAGAAATCTCAAAGTAACCACCTTGGTAAAATATTTTATGAACAAATAAATAATTATATAGTAGCCTATACTGCATACTATACTGCATACTCCCTGATATATTTAGATACATAATCATATTGGTTTCTTCTCATCAGTGGCAGCTGCAACAATTGTATTTCTATATAACACATTAAGCATTAAACTAATACTGCTATTCCTAATTTGTAATTTGTAAAATCAATATACAAAACAAATATCAAGATATTAGCATATTAAAATATTTTTAAAAGATTAAATCATTTTAAAAATTTATCAAAAACATATTAAATCCTTTGAAAAGTTTATTCACAAACATGAAGTTGTGACCTTAGTTAGAGTTTATCAAGAGAAGTATTGGAATATCACGACCCCTCAAGGCAGATTACAAGTTTAGGCCCTGCTTTCATTCTTTGCATTGGGATGGTAAATGACTCCAAGGAAATTCATGGTTCCGACGTCTGCCTGGTCCCTGATCTAAAAAAACTGTATGTGATCTTTGTGGCATTTGTGCAAAAGGTTTGAGATCTGCAATAATTTGGGTGCCGAATTCATTTGATATGGTCTTAGAACTTCCTTTGGCAATGGTGAAAATCGGCTTAAAGATACAAAAGATGTTCCATGGCGTCTACCATGGGATTTGATATACAGCAGTTCTACAGTCGATTTTAACATTGTTTGCAAAGTTAATGGGAAAGTCTGTAATAGCTCCAACACAGACTATTATTGATCTCTTATTAATCCCCTCACTTACCCACAATGCCCTTCTCTGTCGGATAGCTGGGTCTGATGCATTTCTGTCTTATTACACCTGGTATCATCAACCACTGATGCAGACTGGAAAATGTTCTCCACATTTTCTCTTAAAAAAAAAAAAAAATAAATAAAATAATGCATTATATTATTGACTCCTGGTAGAAGAACGGTTAATGCATTTAGAGCAGACCAATTAAAGATTAGACGACCATGCTCCCGTCAGTCATGGCTGTACAGAGCAGACAGTATGCTAGCATATTTTGGCCAAAAAAAGAAAAGACAGGAAAATATAAATAATTGTAGGAGTCATTCCAGTGTTTTTTTCCCACACCTTTCAGAATTAATTTGCTGGCCACACGTTCCCTTCTTTGAATACAGTAATTAGCTTCCACACTGCTAACTGTATGTCAAGCTATTAGCAAGGAATAGAGATACCTCTTCTAATGCCCTGTGCCAGGGTACAGGCTGGCTGAAGGTTAGACAGATAATGACGTTTACAAACAGAGGCTTATTAGCAGCAATATGTATGCATATTGCTGATGGTGCAGCCAGCACTGTTCATTTGGCGCTTTATAAATGTCAGCACACTTACTCTGTAATGTCACTAATAATGTAGGATTGCCTATCAGCAATTCTACAGCTGGCTCCCCGCATGCATTCCAATGAGCCGGCTCACCTGCTAACCTGCTAACCTCTGACCACAGTCATTCATTGAGACTCCTTCTGGTGACCAAGGCCAGAGTAACGTACTCTCAGCTAGCCATGTCTGAGCCCGGCTATACACAGAGTCTGTCAATTATTCCACCAACTCTCAATGATAGTAAATTTGGAAAAATAGAACTCATTTAATCTTTCTATGTGAGTTACATTAGTGGGCGCTTTCCCAATACATTGCAGTGAAGGTTTCATTCTGTGCCTTGCAGTGAAGGTTTCATTCTGTGCCTTGCAGTGAAGGTTTCATTCTGTGCCTTGCAGTGGAGGTTTCATTCTGTGCCTTGCAGTGAAGGTTTCATTCTGTGCCTTGCAGTGAAGGTTTCATTATGTGCCTTGCAGTGGAGGTTTCATTCTGTGATTAGCAATGAAGGTTTTATTCTGTGCCTTGCAGTGGAGGTTTCATTCTGTGATTAGCAGTGAAGGTTTGATTCTGTGATTTGCAGTGAAGGTTTCATTCTGTGCCTTGCAGTGGATGTTTTATTCTGTGCCTTGCGGTGAAGGTTTCATTCTGTGCCTTGCGGTGAAGGTTTCATTCTGTGCCTTGCAGTGAAGGTTTCATTATGTGCCTTGCAGTGGAGGTTTCATTCTGTGATTAGCAATGAAGGTTTTATTCTGTGCCTTGCAGTGGAGGTTTCATTCTGTGATTAGCAGTGAAGGTTTCATTCTGTGATTTGCAGTGAAGGTTTCATTCTGTGCCTTGCAGTGGATGTTTTATTCTGTGCCTTGCGGTGAAGGTTTCATTCTGTGCCTTGCAGTGAAGGTTTCATTATGTGCCTTGCAGTGGAGGTTTCATTCTGTGATTAGCAGTGAAGGTTTGATTCTGTGATTTGCAGTGAAGGTTTCATTCTGTGCCTTGCAGTGGATGTTTTATTCTGTGCCTTGCGGTGAAGGTTTCATTCTGTGCCTTGCAGTGAAGGTTTCATTCTGTGCCTTGCAGTAGAGGTTTCATTCTGTGCCTTGCAGTGAAGGTTTCATTCTGTGCCTTGCAGTGGAGGTTTCATTCAGTGCCTTGCAGTGAAGGTTTCATTCTGTGCCTTGCAGTGGATGTTTCATTCTGTGCCTTGCAGTGAAGGTTTATTGCCTGACTGTGGTATCGAAGGTTTCATTCTGTTCCTTGCAGTGGAGGTTTCATTCTGTGCCTTGCAGTGAAGGTTTCATTCTGTGCCTTGCAGTGAAGGTTTCATTCTGTTGATTGCAGTGAAGGTTTCATTCTGTGCCTTGCAGTGGAGGTTTCATTCTGTGCCTTGCAGTGAAGGTTTCATTCTCTTCCTTGCAGTGGAGGTTTCATTCTGTGCCTTGCAGTAGAGGTTTCATTCTGTGCCTTGCAGTGGAGGTTTCATTCTGTGCTTTGCAGTGGGGGTTTCATTCTGTGCCTTGCAGTGAAGGTTTCATTCTGTGCCTTGCAGTGGATGTTATATTCTGTGCCTTGCAGTGGATGTTTCATTCTGTGCATTGCAGTAGAGGTTTCATTCTGTGCCTTGCAGTGAAGGTTTCATTCTCTGCCTTGCAGTGAAGGTTTCATTCTGTGCCTTGCAGTGGAGGTTTCATTCTGTGCCTTGCAGTGAAGGTTTCATTCTGTGCCTTGCAGTAGAGGTTTCATTCTGTGCCTTGCAGTGGAGATTTCATTCTGTGCCTTGCAGTGAAGGTTTCATTCTGTGCCTTGCAGTGGATGTTTTATTCTGTGCCTTGCAGTGGATGTTTCATTCTGTGCATTGCAGTAGAGGTTTCATTCTGTGCCTTGCAGTGAAGGTTTCATTCCCTGCCTTGCAGTGAAGGTTTCATTCTGTGCCTTGCAGTGGAGGTTTCATTCTGTGCCTTGCAGTGAAGGTTTCATTCTGTGCCTTGCAGTGAAGGTTTTATTCTGTGCCTTGCAGTGGAGGTTTCATTCTGTGCCTTGCAGTGGAGGTTTCATTCTGTGTCTTGCAGTGAAGGTTTCATTCTGTGCCTTGCAGTGAAGGTTTCATTCTGTGCCTTGCAGTGAAGGTTTTATTCTGTGCCTTGCAGTGGAGGTTTCATTCTGTGCCTTGCAGTGGAGGTTTCATTCTGTGTCTTGCAGTGAAGGTTTCATTCTGTGCCTTGCAGTGGAGGTTTCATTCTGTGCCTTGCAGTTGAGATTTCATTATGTGCCTTGCAGTGGAGGTTTCATTCTGTGATTTGCAGTGAAGGTTTCATTCTGTGCCTTGCAGTGGAGGTTTCATTCTGTGCCTTGCAGTAGAGGTTCCATTCCGTGCCTTGCAGTGGAGGTTTCATTCTGTGATTTGCAGTGAAGGTTTCATTCTGTGCCTTGCAGTGAAGGTTTCATTATGTGCCTTGCAGTGGAGGTTTCCTTCTGTGATTTGCAGTGAAGGTTTCATTCTCTGCCTTGCAGTGAAGGTTTCATTCTCTGCCTTGTAGTGGAGGTTTTCATATTTGAGTGATATTGTGAAGATGTCATTGTGTGTTGCAGTGAGAGAATGTTACTTTTGCTGTATTGCCTGTGTGATGCAGTGAAGGTTTATCTTTGTGTCTTGCAGTGAAGGCTTCATTCCTGGTTCTGTGTTTTGCAGTGGATATTTAGTTGTGTCATGCAGTGAAGTTTTAACACTGTGGGTTGAAGTCAAGGTTTAATGTTGTGTGTTGCAATGCAAATTTCATTCTGTGTGTTGCAGTGAAGTCTTACTGCCAGAGTGATGCAGTGATGGTTTACTGTCAGAGTAATGCCGTGATGGTTTACTGCAAGAGTGATGCAGTGATGGTTTATTGCCAGAGTGATGCAGTGATGGTTTACTGTTAGAGTGATGCAGAGATGGTTTACTGCCAGAGTGATGCAGTGATGGTTTACTGCCAGAATGATGCAGTGATGGTTTACTGTCAGAGTGATGCAGTGATGGTTTACTGCCAGAGTGATAAAGTGATGGTTTACTGCCAGAGTGATGCAGTGATGGTTTACTGTCAGAGTGATGCAGTGATGGTTTACTGTCAGAGTGATAAAGTGATGGTTTACTGCCAGAGTGATGCAGTGATGGTTTACTGCCAGAGTGATGCAGTGATGGTTTACTGTCAGAGTGATGCAGTGATGGTTTACTGTCAGAATGATAAAGTGATGGTTTACTGCCAGAGTGATGCAGTGATGGTTTACTGCAGTGATGGTTTACTGCCAGAGTGATGCAGTGATGGTTTACTGCAGAATGATGCAGTGATGGTTTACTGTCAGAGTGATGCAGTGATGGTTTACTGTCAGAGTGATGCAGTGATGGTTTACTGTCAGAGTGATGCAGTGATGGTTTACTGTCAGAATGATGCAGTGATGGTTTACTGTCAGAGTGATGCAGTGATGGTTTACTGTCAGAGTGATGCAGTGATGGTTTACTGCCAGAGTGATGCAGTGATGGTTTACTGCCAGAGTGATGCAGTGATGGTTTACTGTCAGAGTGATGCAGTGATGGTTTACTGTCAGAGTGATGCAGTGATGGTTTACTGTCAGAATGATGCAGTGATGGTTTACTGTCAGAGTGATGCAGTGATGGTTTACTGCAGAGTGATGCAGTGATGGTTTAGTCAGTGATGCAGTGATGGTTTACTGTCAGAGTGATGCAGTGATGGTTAACTGTCAGAATGATGCAGTGAAGTCTTACTGTCAGAGTGATGCAGTGATGGTTTACTGCCAGAGTGATGCAGTGATGGTTTACTGCCAGTGATGGTTTACTGCAGAGTGGTGCAGTGATGGTTTACTGTCAGAGTGATGCAGTGATGGTTTACTGCCAGAGTGATGCAGTGATGGTTTACTGCCAGAGTGATGCAGTGATGGTTTACTGCCAGAGTGATGCAGTGATGGTTTACTGCCAGAGTGATGCAGTGATGGTTTACTGTCAGAGTGATGCAGTGATGGTTTACTGTCAGAGATAAAGTGATGGTTTACTGCAGAGTGATGCAGTTTACTGTCATGGTGATTACTGTCAGATGATGCAGTGATGGTTTACTGTCAGAGTGATGCAGTGATGGTTTACTGTCAGAGTGATGCAGTGATGGTTTACTGTCAGAATGATGCAGTGATGGTTTACTGTCAGAGTGATGCAGTGATGGTTTACTGATGCAGTGATGGTTTACTGTCAGAATGATGCAGTGATGGTTTGTCAGAATGATGCAGTGAAGTCTTACTGTCAGAGTGATGCAGTGATGGTTTACTGCCAGAGTGATGCAGTGATGGTTTACTGTCAGAGTGATGCAGTGATGGTTTACTGTCAGAGTGATGCAGTGATGCAGTGATGGTTTACTGTCAGAGTGATGCAGTGATGGTTTACTGCCAGAGTGATGCAGTGATGGTTTACTGCCAGAGTGATGCAGTGATGGTTTACTGCCAGAGTGATGCAGTGATGGTTTACTGCCAGAGTGATGCAGTGATGGTTTACTGTCAGAATGATGCAGTGATGGTTTACTGTCAGAGTGATGCAGTGATGGTTTACTGCCAGAGTGATGCAGTGATGGTTTACTGCCAGAGTGATGCAGTGATGGTTTACTGTCAGAGTGATGCAGTGATGGTTTACTGTCAGAGTGATGCAGTGATGGTTTACTGCCAGAGTGATGCAGTGATGGTTTACTGTCAGAGTGATGCAGTGATGGTTTACTGTCAGATGATGCAGTGATGGTTTACTGCCAGAGTGATGCAGTGATGGTTTACTGCCAGAGTGATGCAGTGATGGTTTACTGTCAGAGTGATGCAGTGATGGTTTACTGCCAGAGTGATGCAGTGATGGTTTACTGCCAGAGTGATGCAGTGAAGTCTTACTGCCAGAGTGATGCAGTGATGGTTTACTGTCAGAACGATGCAGTGATGGTTTACTGTCAGAGTGATGCAGTGATGGTTTACTGTCAGAGTGATGCAGTGATGGTTTACTGTCAGAACGATGCAGTGATGGTTTACTGTCAGAATGATGCTGTCAGAGTGATGCAGTGATGGTTTACTGTCAGAGTGATGCAGTGATGGTTTACTGTCAGAGTGATGCAGTGATGGTTTACTGCCAGAGTGATGCAGTGATGGTTTACTGCCAGAGTGATGCAGTGATGGTTTACTGTCAGAGTGATGCAGTGATGGTTTACTGTCAGAATGATGCAGTGATGGTTAACTGTCAGAATGATGCAGTGAAGTCTTACTGTCAGAGTGATGCAGTGATGGTTTACTGCCAGAGTGATGCAGTGATGGTTTACTGTCAGAATGCAGTGATGCAGTGATGGTTTTACTGCCAGAGTGATGCTGTGAGGTGATGTCAGTGAGTGATGCAGTGATGGTTTACTGCCAGAGTGATGCAGTGATGGTTTACTGCCAGAATGATGCAGTGATGGTTTACTGCAAGAGTGATGCAGTGATGGTTTACTGTCAGAGTGATGCAGAGATGGTTTACTGTCAGAGTGATGCAGTGATGGTTTACTGCCAGAGTGATGCAGTGATGGTTTACTGTCAGAATGATGCAGTGATGGTTTACTGTCAGAGTGATGCAGTGATGGTATACTGTCAGAGTGATGCAGTGATGGTTTACTGCCAGAGTGATGCAGTGATGGTTTACTGCCAGAGTGATGCAGTGATGGTTTACTGTCAGAGTGATGCAGTGATGGTTTACTGTCAGAATGATGCAGTGATGGTTTACTGCCAGAGTGATAAAGTGATGGTTTACTGCCAGAGTGATGCAGTGATGGTTTACTGTCAGAGTGATGCAGTGATGGTTTACTGCCAGAGTGATAAAGTGATGGTTTACTGCCAGAGTGATGCAGTGATGGTTTACTGCCAGAATGATGCAGTGATGGTTTACTGTCAGAGTGATGCAGTGATGGTTTACTGTCAGAGTGATGCAGTGATGGTTTACTGTCAGAACGATGCAGTGATGGTTTACTGTCAGAGTGATGCAGTGATGGTTTACTGCCAGAATGATGCAGTGATGGTTGACTGTCAGAGTGATGCAGTGATGGTTTACTGTCAGAGTGATGCAGTGATGGTTTACTGTCAGAGTGATAAAGTGATGGTTTACTGTCAGAGTGATGCAGTGATGGTTTACTGTCAGAGTGATGCAGTGATGGTTTACTGTCAGAGTGATGCAGTGATGGTTTACTGTCAGAGTGATGCAGTGATGGTATATTGCTTGGGTGTTGTATTGATTATTTAATTTAGTTTATATTGAGTATTATTGTGAAGGTTTAACTCTTTATGTATTACTAAAAAAAAAACTTAATTCCCTGTTTATTCCATTAAATATATCTACATTCACACGTTCACCATCAATTCCCCATTATCTTTTACTACTTTCATTTGTCTTCTCACCATCTTTCTGACTGAGTGTTATATTTGATTTCTCCCTTCTCTATGACATACATTTGCTCTCTATTACTTCCACCTGCATTTCCATCCCTTTACTATCCTAACAATCTATCTACTAATCACTGTCTGTACTCTAAAATGACTTTTCACTCCCATTTCTTAATTAAGTTTGAACACTGCAATTACCTACTTCCTGGCTCTCTCCTCTGCATTCCTCGATCTGCATACAGCTGACTCCCATTACACAAATCTCCCCCGCCTCCCCTTTTACAAAGCTACCAAGGTCCTCTTTTTTTTAAATGCAAATATCTCTACAACGTCATGCCTCCTTGCTTCCTGCCACTCATCTTTCCAACACACTTCCTGCCTCTCTCCTTTACATTCCTCATTCTGTGTACAGCTCCCTCCCATTGCAAAAAGTCCTTCCCTTTACAAAGCTTCCAAGGCCCTCTTTTTTTAAATTCAAATATCTCTACAACATCATGCCTCCTAGCATCTCCCTATAGACACTGGGCCATATACTCACCTGTGAAATCACTACGTAAGCATATTAACATTTATATCTTACCTCAATCATCATCTTACATCACACTCCTACCATCCTCTCCACATTATACCTCCATGAGCCTTTTCTCATTGAGTAGTCACTTCCTCTGTTGAGTCGTGCTCCAACATACCCTTACCTTCCCTCTCCACCCCTTATCTCACAGCCAACTTTCTATCATGTTTATTCATGTCCAGCTTGACCAAATATTCCCTTCCCATAGTCTACTAACCTAAGTTCATTCCTTAATTATCTTTCTATACAAACTTATTTAACTCTCACATCCAAAACACTTGATGCTCCTTTGTTCTTTTTATCAGTTTGACTTTTCCCCCTTAGCCAGCTACTAATCAAAAATGTATTCCAAAAACTTTGGAACTCATGTAACTCATGTCTAGTTTGGACAAATCCCTCATGCTTTTTGCAAACCGCTCAAGACCCAAGCAAACCTTTCTTTAACCACCCTCTGCTCATTCTCCTTCCTGACCTGATTTTATCTCCCCAACAGTTTATCTCAATGCAATGTATCTGTTATTCTCTCAATTTATACACTTGACCATGAGTGTATCCATCACCCAAAATCGCCCTTTAATTCCTTAATTTGTTCACATTTATTGTGTCTACAGCTACCTGGTTCTAATATGTATCTATGTGTGATACATATGGATCTCTTTATTGTAAGTATTATATGTAAATCAACCGGGAAAAAAACATGATATAAGTACAAAACAAACCAAATATGACACCGATTTACAGATACGGGCAAAGAGGGTTATGGAAGCTGTATTTCACAAAGATAGCTATATTCACATGTTGTCGAGCTTGTCTAAAGCCTTGTTAATAATCCTTGGAATTGTCTATTTATCTAGAGATTATCTAACCCTGCTTATTAGTGGTTCACAGAGCGAAGCAATAGGTGTAGATAGCATGCATCTTCTGAAAAATCAATTCCGCCATGCGTGTGAAAAGGCTCTCATTGCAGATCAGAGGCTCATCTGAACGGCGGGTGGTGGGGGGGACAATTTTAGGACTAATTGGCTGTTCATATAGATTGTTATTAAAGTGTTGTCCAGGCAAACATTGAATATGTGTAATTTTTGTGTTTCATAATGTCCTAATACATTACAAACAAAGATGTTATTGAAACGCAGAACTTCATTATTAAATGTACATTAACATATGCACTTTCGCCAACTCTTACTGTGTCGTCAGATGCGAATCGGAACAGCGAGTTCTATACATTGGAAAAAGTGTTTAAAAACACAGCAGAGCTTTTTATGTTTGAGAATAATGAATAATACATCCATGGCTTTATTACACTCAAAGGAAATACAATAAAAATACCTTTATAATATGTAAAGGTAAAATTAACTTAGTTATTATGGCAACGATTAGCCAGAAACATTTGCAGCTGATGTGGACAAACAATTAATCCTAAACGAGTATGGGATAGACGACAGTAAATGGTCCAAATGTACGATCTCAGAGTTCTAGATTTGATTCACGGTCAGTAGGGATGTGCATGGGCAAAAAAATTTTTGGGTTCGGAAATTCAGGTAAGTAAAAAAATGTGTCTGCTTTGGCAATTCGGACCAATGGCATTCGGTTTTGAACTTCGGCAATTCGGCAATTTGGGAACTTCGGTATTAGGGACCCTAACCCGAAACCTAACCCTAAACCTAACCCTAACCCCCAACCCGTAACCCCTAACCCATAACCCCTAACCCCAACCACTTGTTTTGCTACTTTTCAGAAATCCAAAGCACTTCAGAACTTCAGCAATTTGGAACTTCGGCAATTCAGTTTGGTAATTCAGATATTCGGCAATTCAATGTAAGCATTTGAATGTCAGAATTGCACGAAATTCATACAAATGTACATTTGGAATGAAACGAATTGTGCATATTTAACGTTCAGCTCAATCTTTGTTCATTCTTGGGTCAATAGCATGAGTGATATTAAGTTTGTCACTAATGCCATAAATATTCCAGGACAAACTTGGAAATAATATCTGATGATATCTGATGATACAATTGGATACTTTTACATAGTGAGAATATACCTAGACTGGGACTACAGCATAGCCCGTAAGGAAACTACACAACAGGTATGATGTTGAGGAAAGGGATTTAGGAGTATTTATTTTAGAAGACTTAGAGGTAGGCAGACAATGTAATAGAGCAGCAGGAAATGCTAGCAGAATGCTTGGTTGTATAGGAGATATTAGCAGTAGAAAGAGGGAAGTGCTCATGCCAATGTACAGGAAATTGATGAGACCTCACTTGGAGTATTGTACACAGTACTGGAGACTGTATCTTCAGAAGGATATTGATGCTTTAGAGAGAGTTCAGAGAAGGGCTACTAAACTGGTTCATGGATTGCAGGATAAAACTTACAGGTAAAGGTTAAAGGATCTTAACATGTATAGCATGGCGGAAAGACGAGACAGGGGGGATATGATAGAAACATGTAAATACATAAAGGGAATCAACACCGTAAAGGAGGAGACTGTATTTAAAAGAAGAAAAACTACCACAACAACAGGACATAGTCTTAAATTAGAGGGACAAAGGTTTAAAAATAATATCAGGAAGTATTACTTTACTGAGAGGGTAGTGGATGCATGGAATAGCCTTCCAGTGGAAGTGGTAGAGGTTAACACAGTAAAGGAGTTTAAGCATGCGTGGGATAGGCATAAGGCTATCCTAACTATAAGACAAGGCCAGGGACTAATGAAAGTATTTAGCAAATTGGGCAGACTAGATGGGCCGAATGGTTCTTATCTGCCGTCACATTCTATGTTTCTATGTAATGTATGAGTGCGGAATAATAGAAAACATAATTATGCACAAGAACAGATTCACAGACAGGATCTATGCCATGCCCTCTTTCTATATGCTTAGTTTTAGTAGTTCAACACTGACCATGTTATTACCGCTCCAATAGTTATTCATGTCAATCTTGGCATGTCAGGTTTGTGAACTAAATTTTCCAAATTAGACAAACATCATGGGAAAAGTTGTAAAGATTAACAATCAATGGTAAAGTCAGCCCAAGACATCCATATTTTTAAATGATTTAGTATATTTGGATAAACTTTTAAAATATATGTATTTTCTCAAAATAATATTTAAAAATATATGACGTATAAAAATATGTATCAACATATCAAAATATTAAAATATGAGAATAGTTTACACATCTATAATCATTGTAAAAGTTTATCCACAAATATTAAATCGAGGCCTGTGTGTCTTACTGAGCCAGTTATAATTTGCTTTCCTGCATTGTCTACCTCCTACTCCACCAATACTGCGATCACTTAATTAAATTAATACTGTCAACAGTAAATGTTGAGAATTTAAAAACAGGAGATCACAAATAAGTTAAAGGGACACTATAGTCACCAGAACAACTACAGCTTTTTTATTTTCTCTATTAAGTAGACTCATTACCTTCAGGCTTTTTGCAGTTAATACTGTCTTTTCAGAGTTAATTCAGTGTTTACATTACAGCCTTGGCATACCTCCACTGGTCACTACTCAGATGGCTGCTAGAGGTGCTTCCTGGGGCAGTGCTGCACAGTGTGACTGACATTCAATGTCTCCACCCTCTGCATGGAGACACTGAACTTTCCTCATAGAGCTGCATTGATTCAATGCATTTCTATGAGGAGATGCTGTTTGATCATGGCTAATTTTGGCTTGTGCTGGCTCTGGCCCTGATTTGCCTTCTTGACAAGCTCAGCCAATCCAATGCTTTCCTATGGGATCAGCTGGCAGATCAGGGGCAGAGCCAGCACCACCGGACTGGAATAAAGGTAATATTTTACTACTATATTTAGAAGGGCAAGGGGGGATCAGGGAGACCAGGGGGGCTAGATGGTGTTTTAAACACTATAGGGTCAGGAATACATGTTTGTGATCCTGACTCTATACTGTTCCTTTAAGGCTAAGCTCACAGTAAAATACAAAATGTTTCACTGATTTTTGGAACTAAAGATTATATATTGCTAAACATCAAGTTAATAATGAACATTTTTTTTAACTTTTTCTTGTGACTGAAGCTACAGACAGTGTAATGTGAGATATGATTCTGAGCACTTTCTAGAAAATGATAAGACTGAATTCCTGAAGCCGATCACTCTTTAGCAGCTCAAATAAATAGAGGTTTTAGAATCATCGTTGTAAATCGTTGTAAAAGAAATGGCCTTCAAACTATTTTCTTTCTTGTTCTGGGTAATGGATCTTCTAATTTCATTTAGACGAATCTGATACTTCCCATATGGTTTACAGGCAGTTAGAGTAAACAGCATCAAGATTTTAAGCAAAATCCTCACCCACATTAAATCACTTATTTCTTTGTTATTCTCTCCTCTTCCTAGTCTTCCAGTTTCTTGACCCACCTCTCCATCATCTGAGCCCTTAACAATCATTCCAAGTATTACAGCACCATGCTGCCGCCTTATAATGTGCTCTACCTTTCCTTTCTATAGCAGCTAGCTATAATCCCTTTAGTTATTGTGTCTGAAATTTCCTTTCCACTGATGCTGCTATTCTCCACTTACCACTACTGTCCTCCACTTACCTCTGCTATCCTCCACTTACCACTACTGTCCTCCACTTACCTCTGCTATCCTCCACTTACCACTGCTGTCCTCCACTTACCTCTGCTGTCCCCCACTTACCTCTGCTGTCCCCCACTTACCTCTGATATCCCCCACTTACCTCTGATATCCCCCACTTACCTCTGATATCCTTCACTTACCACTGCTGTCCTCCACTTACCTCTGCTGTCCCCCACTTACCTCTGCTATCCTCCACTTACCACTGCTGTCCTCCACTTACCTCTGCTGTCCCCCACTTACCTCTGCTGTCCCCCACTTACCTCTGCTATCCCCCACTTACCTCTGATATCCCCCACTTACCTCTGATATCCTTCACTTACCACTGCTGTCCTCCACTTACCACTGCTGTTCTCCACTTACCACTGCTGTCCCCCACTTACCTCTGATATCCTTCACTTACCACTGCTGTCCTCCACTTACCACTGCTGTTCTCCACTTACCACTGCTGTTCTCCACTTACCACTGCTGTTCTCCACTTACCTCTGCTGTCCCCCACTTACCTCTGATATCCCCCACTTACCACTGCTGTCCCCCACTTACCTCTGATATCCCCCACTTACCACTGCTGTCCCCCACTTACCTCTGATATCCCCACTTACCTCTGCTATCCCCCACTTACCTCTGATATCCCCTACTTACCTCTGCTATTCTCCACTTACCTCTGCTATCCTCCACTTACCACTGCTGTCCCCCACTTACCTTTGATAACACATACCCTGTGCTAATCTCTTACTTTCATCTCTAAACCAAAGCTATATTTTCCAACATTGGTATCCTGCAAATCAGGATGCTGGTGGGCAGG